TAGACAGTAGTAGACAAAGCTTCCACCCAATATTTAGCTGGTACAGAGGACTCAATCAATAAAGTACGAGTGACATCTAAAAGATGATGATTTTTTCGTTCAGCAACTCCATTTTGTTGTGGTGTATATAGGCAAGAGTGTTGTGAGACAATTCCTTTGTCAAGCAAGAATTTTTTGAATTCATAAGACATATTTTCTCCACCAGAATTAGATCTTAATAATTTGATGCATGTAGAAAATTGAGTCTCAATGTAAGCCAAAAATGTCTTGAACATCGAAAATACCTCAGATTTGGATCAAAAGAAAATACACCCATGTAAACCGACTATAATCATCTATGAATGTCACAAAGTAATTTGAAATGAGAATGAGAAATAATTGGTGAAATTCTCCAAACATCACTATGAATTACATCAAAACATTTTATAGCACGACTACCAAAATTATGATAACGGAAGAGTTTTACTTTTGCCTAATTTACAAGTAGAACAATCAATGGAAGCAACTGAAAATTGATTTTTATTTCCCAATAAACCAGAATTTGATAAATGAGACAACACAACAGAATTTGGATGTCCTAGACGCTTATGCCAAACCTCAGTCTTACTAGCAGTAGAAGTACAAGCAAAAGATAGAATAGGAGGAATGGAAAAGTGTATAGGAAACAATTGTCCAACTTTAGGCCCCTTCGCGATTATCATCCCCGACACCTGATCCTGCACAAGACAACCATTACGAGAAAAATTCACATCACAATTGTTATCTACCAATTGTCCAACTGAAATAAGACTAGTTGAGAGCTTTGATGAAACAAAAACATTCTTGAAAGTTGGAGCAATGTCCCTAACCTTGGTAATGGGTAAATTACTACCATTGGCAATCTGTATTTGTGATGGACCTTGATACTTACGAACATTTTTTAGGATGCTCATTGAGTTGGTCATGTGATTGGAAGCACCTGAACCAACAATCCAAAAATTAGATGTAACATCATTACCTTGTAATCCCAATGCTGTAAATGCTGACACAATCATTTGTTGTACCATTTAAGGAGTAAGAACTTGTCTTGAAGATGAGTTATCATTAGTGGAACCATTTATCCCAGCTTGAAAAACATTGATCCTACGATTTTGAGGGCGCGTGGTACACTCTTTGATAATGTGTCCTTGTTGTTTACAATAATTACAGAATTCTTGCTACAATTGCTAGCAATATGACCATATTCCTTGCAACTGTAGCATTGAGTTCTACTCATATCCCTACCCTTTCCTTTACCTTGAGCAGCAAATGCAACAGTGACATTATTTTCTTTCTTGAAAGCATTTTGTGTGACAATACATTGCTCTTCACGAAGTAATTCCCTAAAGCAAACATCCAAAAAGGGAGATGGGTCACGATTCATCAAGTTAGAGCGAACACTCTCAAAGTTGGAGCGTAATTTCATCAAAAATTGGTCTCGCTTGCTTTGCTCATGAACTGCCTGAATCACTGAAAGAGATTCAGTAGGTATTTTCGCATAGACAATATCTGTAAATTCAGGCCATAAGTTTTGAAATCCAGAAAAATAATCCTGAACAGAAAGACCTCCTTAAGAGTAATTAGCAATTTCATACTCTAACTGAAAGCGTCTTGTGCTATTATCTTGGTTGTAAACCTTTTGCAAGTAATCCCACATGGCCTTAGCTGTCTTGTATGGCCTGAGATTAAGAACAATAAGAGGGTCAATTGACCCTAGAATCCATGTCATCACCCGAGCATCTTTAATCCTCCATTCACCTAGCTTTGTTGCATCAGTAGGAGCAGGATCGCTTCCATCTATATGGCCCCATAGTTCTTTGCCGGTGACAAACAACTGAAACTGAAACTCCCAAGAGGAATAATTTTTTTCAGTAAAACGAACACTGAAGGATTCAAAGTGATGTGAATTCATGCTTTTGAATAGCTATGAAAACTACTAAGACAAGCAACTAGAATGACCAAGAACAAAATTCCCATGTGGTAGGACTGATTGTCGATGAACAGTCAACCAAAAACCAAGATTTTCAATTTTTTTTTAGAAGGAACCACATATGACTCAGCCAAGAGAAGGCTCTAATACCATGTCAATTTTCTACTGAATGCCTCTCAAAGTGAGAGTCTTTCCATTATATAGAGAAAAGAAAGATTACACATCCCTAAAGATCCGCCATTCCTATCCCTAAAGATCAACTATTCTATCTCTACAAATCTGCTATTCAATCCCTCTAAATCTGCCTTGCTATCCCTCCAAATCAGCTATTCTATCACAATATTTATTCCTTTGATTCTACAACAAATGTATATGATCATGCTAATTTATATCACTATATAATTACATTAATATATACAATCATTTAGTTGTCCATCATGCTAACAATTGACACTTCCCAAACAACACAACAAAGGACAGAATAGCATTTCTCAGAACACTAATCATATGCATTAGGCTTCTACTATACTTCTACATTGATCTTGAAATCGCCCTCCACATAGGACAGAAAAAGTTATTTTTTCGAGTTTTTCTACCAAAGCTCATCAATCCTATACTTAATGGACTTAAAGTTGTCTCCTTCAGAAAAGAAGCCACGGTTAGAAGAATATTAGTGATTAAAATGAGAGTCTATCCAAAATTCAAAAGAATTAACTAGGATGAAGAATGTTGTATAGAAGAACCTATTTGAACATCTTGATCATAACATACAGCAGCCTTCAACTCCAAATGTTTTATCGATGGCTGATTCTTGGTGCACGTGAATTCCACCATGCTGCAACACAATTCCAACTCTTTGAACGCAACGATCTCACTGCTTGCTGCATTGGCATTTCTCGGCAACTTTATTACCTGAGAGTTTTCACATGTTTGTGATGATGGTATTTCTTGAAAGATTTACAAAAACTTAAAAAAACTGAGGTATAGGATAACTTACATATGGTACAGTGGTTACCAACCTTTTTTTTGACTTCCTTCTTGTCCCTCATATCACAGAGTCTGTAATCCTACTAGGAGGTGAACTGAGCATGGCGGAGGAGCTGGGGGCAGCAGGAAAGGGTTCTGATTTTTGACGGGGACACATAAAATTTGTGGGAAAGAAAGAAACTTTTATTATTTATGCTTCAGATTATGAACTTTCGAATAACAATTCTTCAAACATATCTATCACATTTTGTATCTTAAGGCCACACATAATGCTTAAGAGCTACTTAAATAATGATTTGAAGCTCGTCCCCTCCCCTCATATCTTCAGCATATTCCTTAATCTTCATAGCAGAATCTTCAAGTTGAGGGCTCTCTACAAGTTTAATAATTTTTAATGAACCAATATCCCCAAAACTAGGCGGAATCTCCTCAAGCTTACAACATCCCTTCAGTTGTAATTTCTCAAGCACAGGAAAGGATTCCTCTCCAACCTCCCACTTGGCAAGAGTCACTTTGCTCAACGTCAGACATTTGAGATTCTCAAAGGTGTCTTCCTCTCCCATGTTCCATTCTTCCCCATGGATGATTGTATAATAAAGGAACAACTCTTTAATGAATCAGATGTCAGAGGAAAGTCATACAACTGCAAACGTTTCAAACTCGAAGGGAAGTGAAAATGCCATGGCCGATTTGTGACTACAGAGGACCCACTGTCATTTGTGTTTGAACTTTCAAAATGTACATCAATGTCTTCTAGTTCAGTTAGGAAATCCAATTTCGGGAACCAATATTGCTCTGTTGAATAATCCCATGATTCCTTGAGATCAAAAGAAAGTGCTTGAAGTTTGGGAAGCCTTTCGAATATATGCTCTGTGTCTTTCGAATAGGAAAGCACGAGTTCCTCTAAATATCTCAAGTTCTCTAACTTTGTGTCCTCTGCTATCAGTCTTGATTCATCTGCATCCAAATCAAACAAAGAACAAGCACTCACGGATAGCACTCGCAACTTTACAAGATCCCAAATTCTCGATAATAGTATCAAGGTTGATTCTTCATTATCCACCAACAAGATTTCTAGATTCCACAGGTTTGAGAAAGACAAAGGCAGATATTTAACTTCTGTCCCAATTCTTAAGTACTTCAAATGATTCAACATGCATATTTCACTCAGCAAAGAATCTTTCACCTTGATAAAAGAGGTATACAGTTCCAAGGCTCTAAGAAGCCTCAAGTGTCTAACTTGTTCTTCTGTTAAATGGTGCTGTCAATGTACTTGTGGTCATGTATTGTTGTAATTCTCTTTGAAGTTTAATGTGAACCTTTCATTCATTTGAGTGCTGGAAATCCCATTTGTTGAACGTTTAGTAGAAGGTATTTCAGTGTTCTAGTACGAGTCAGTTTTATAAACAAACACTTATTTTCGTTCAGTGTGGGATTTCAGTCTAATTTGGTTGAATGTCCTGAGGAGAGGAAGTCATGAGTGCTTATAAGCTCTCTATAACCTCTTCACTTCACGGGCTAGCTTTTGAGATGAAAGTTCGTTGGGTTTGTGACAATAGTATCAATGTCGTTTTAAATCAGTACCTTGATTGAGGTTGAACGATCGTGCTTTGAGCACATAAGATGGGACTTCAGACCAAGTTTAACACAAAGGAGGTTTGGACAGCCATAGGCAGCTCCACAGCGTAATCTATGAATTCACGTGAATCCCTCAACTTTTGTCAAAATCCTATACATATGTGTATTAAGTTATCGACTTAATAATTATAAATATGTGATTGTGAATCTAATTATTATTGATGTTAACGTGAGGTTGCCATAGAAACTTGTAAACGTCAAATCCTCCGCAGAAGGCTTATAAGCAAGAAAATTATTGTGTGTGTGAATGCAAAGAAAAAAATAAAGAGATACCTAGTGGCAGAAAAGTAAGAAAATTCTGCTATTGTCAGAAAAGCAAAAGCATAAATCAATGAATCTATCTGCCAAAATAGTAAAGAAAGCAGTGATAAGAATAGTATTTTGGTGTACAAGATTAATGTTTAATCCTATATTTTTTGTTAAAAACTTAAAAGTTTTCTAAATACAATCTACTTTTCAACCATAATGCTTAAAAGCTACTTAAATAACAGGATATTCTTCCAGCCAACGACTTTGAAGCTCGTCTCCTCCCCTCATATCTTCAGCATATTCCTTAATTTTCATAGCAGAATCTTCAAGTTGAGGGCTCTCTACAAGTTTGATAATTTTCAATGAACTAATATCCCCGAAAATAGGTGGAATCTCCTCAAGCTCATGACATCCCTGCAGTTTTAATTTCTCAAGGGAGGGAAAGGATTCCTCTCCAACCTCCCACTTGGAAAGTGTCATTTCATGCAACTTCAAATATTTGAGATTCTCAAAGGTGTCTTCCTCCCCCATGTTCCATTCTTCCCCATGGATGATTGTATGACCAAGGTACAACTCTTCAAGGTTGGACAGTCTCGCTATTGTTGATAGTGAATTGGATGTCAGAGGAAAGTCAACCAGACGCAATTTTTTCAGATTCAAAGGGAAGTAAAAATTCCATGGCCGATTTATGGCTGCAGAGGACCCACTGTCATTTGTGTTTGAACTTTCAAAACCTACATTGAGGTCTTCTAGTTCAGTTAGGCAATCCAATTTCGGGAACCAGTATTGCTCTGTTGAATAATCCCATGATTCCTTGAGTTCAAACTGAGGCAATTGAAGATTGGGAAACCTTTTGAAAATAACCTCTGTATCTTTCGAATAGGAAAGAATGAGTTGCCCTAATATTTTCAACTTCTCTAACTTTGTGTCCTCTGCTATCAGTATTGATTCATCTGCATACAAATCAAAGAAAGAGCAAGCAGTCATGCCCAGCACTCGCAACTTTACAAGATCCCAAATTCTCGGTAATAGTATCAAGATTGTTCTATAGTTTTCAACCATTAGAGTTTCTAGATTCCAGAGGTTTGAGAAGATAAAGGCAGAGATTCAACTTCTGTCCTAATGTATAAGAACCTCAAATGATTCAACATGCATATTTCATTCAGCAAAGAATCTTTCACCGTGATAAAAGAGGTAGGCAGTTCCAAGGCTCTAAGAAGCCTCAAATGTCTTAGATGAAATGTATCAGAAACACTATCGGCCAACTGCTCGTCTCCATCTATGGTCAAAGAATAGAGGTGTTTACCAGAATGCCTTTTCTTGTTTGAATCAAACAAGACAAAATTGTTAATCCCCAATAACCCGCTGTTATAATGAATGGTAATTTGACGTGGCATCAAATCTGAACAAAAAGATGGTGTACTTGAACTTATCTGGTCAAACAACTTTTCCTCTCTTGCTTTTATCAAACAAAATTCATGCACTAGATCATGAAGTTGGCAAGTCGGGGTATCACCTATCTCGTTGAAAGCAATTACCAAGCTACTGGAAATTAAGTTATCCACATAAACCTTTATCACTTCTTCCACACTCTTCATCTCTGTCTGTTCCACAAGTCCTTCAGCATGCCATAAACCATTCAATGCATATATTGTTATTGCAGTGTCCTTCAGAAAACTTGCAAGGTAAAGAAAGCATGGCTTGATGTGATGTGGCAAATAAAGGAACTCAAATTATTTTGAACTTCAAGCCACACAGTCTTTTTCTTTTCCCTCCCAGCAATGACTCCAGCAATCAGATCAGCCACCAAAGGAAGCCCTTTACAATTTTCGGCTATTTCTTTACCAACATCCAATAGTTCATCAGGGCAACTCTCGTTTCCAAATGCCCTTTTCTCTAATAACTCCCAACTTTCTTCTGATCTTAGCAATCGAAGCTCAAGAGGATCAGTATAGCGCTTTCCATGCAAAGCCACTTCCTTTTCTCGAGTAGTCAAAATAATTCTACTTCCTTTCATACCATTAGGAAAAGGTCTTGTTAACTCATCCCACGTAGTAGTATCCCACACATCATCTAAGACAATAAGATACCTCTTTCCATACAGTTGTTTCCGTAGCTTATCAGCAACATCAATATTCTCAATCAAATTTGAATCCGAGCCATTAACTTGATTAAAAATTTTATTCAACAAATTCTTTTCGTCATATTCTTGGTCGACTGTGCACCATGCGCGAAGGTCGAAATGACAAGAAATTGATTTATCATTGTATACTTTGAATGCCAAAGTAGTTTTGCCTGAACCCGGCATACCAGTGATCGAAATGACATCTAGATCTGCCGGTCCTCTGGTGAGCTCTCTAAGTATCAGGTTTGTCTCCTCCTCAAAACCTACAATTATTTTATCAGTTGTCAATGACTTGCTCTCAACTGGTTTCTTGGGAGAGTTCACAACGATGAGACCTCTGTTCTTGGAAATGTTCTCATGTAAATCAGAGACCTCTTCTTTGATAAGCTTCATCTTCTTTATGGTAATGGGAAGTGAGAAAATAAGATGTAAGAGACCATTATCTCGAACAATAATTGAATCTATGACATCTTTTGCCTCATAAGCTACATCTAGAACACGTTCCCAGAGATCTTTATACAATCCTTGCTCAACATTCACAAAGAACGATCTTATGAATTCTAGGTCTTGTCTCACCAACTCAATTTCTTCCTTTATCAAAGCAATTGAATAAGCATTGGAATCCAGCAAATCATTCAAATGTATGTGTAGTAGATGCATGAAGAGAGGTCCATCACTCATGGGGAAGCAACATTGAGATGAAACCGGGACTTTCAGATAAACATGTTTGAGATCTTCCTTGAGGAGTTCAATATCCAGCAACTTTAGGGTTGCACGATTTGTCTCGTCGGTACTCTCTTTATTCCTTAATTTCTCTTCTAAGTCGCGAACAAGAGTTGCTACCTCCCTGGTAAGTGCTCCAACACGAGCCAAGAGATCAAAAAGTTTGTCATGATGAATAAAGTCCTTGGGCATATCAGAAAGAATAATCAATAGGAATTCCATCATGACATGAATGTTTTGAGCCCCTGAAGTGCTAGGGGTAATAACAGTTACCATATGCTCTTGTAGATGAGTCAGATATTCTCTGAGAATGTCTGGAGAAGTTTCCAGGAGCTTCTTAGTGAAGCGTCCAACTTCTGCTGAAGTTGAAGCTTTCAAATTTGTATAACATATGTGCATAACCTCCAGTTCAGTTGGAACAATCTTCAAGAGTAGATGTGCTAGCTCGGAGAGTCGAGAGTCTTCATCAGTCTGATCCTCCCAAAGGAAGTGTCCTACTCTCTCAGCCATGAGTTGAAACAGAGGTAAGACATTCTCAACCGTCTTATGGTTAATGCAACCATTCACTATCAAACCATGGAAATCTCTTACATTGCCACATACATTCTGAAGAACCTCATATTGAGTCACTCCAGGAAACATCTTTTCAGCACGATGCTTGGATAGATGATAGAGATTCAAGAGGAGGAAGTCCAATTGCTCATCCATCATGGTGACATCTGATTTAGAACGATGATACAAGCTGATACAGTCATCCATATTACTGGCGAGGCTAGTAAGGACATATTTACACCCGACGTCTTTGCCATCATCATCCAAAATTGGTTGAAGCAGATCCTCAACCTCTTGTCTTTTTCTACTCATTATAACTTCAAACTGCTCCAAATCGGAATAAGAAAGCTGGACATATGTACAAATAAATGCCAGCTCCAATTTTAGCTTTTCAACTTGATCTTTGTCAAGAGCTTTTTGATTTTCTTCATTCTCTAATCTCTCTAGGATATCCAGAACATCGGCAATGTCCTTGCGAAGAGCAGAAAATAACACCTGCCAAAGTAACACATATCAAATTTTTAAAGCCACATATCTACAGTTCAATACTTTACAGTTCACTCTATCAAGTAACATACCAATGACTTGTTTGCTTCTTCATTATCTTTTCGTTTTTCCATGATTCTACTTTTCCTTTCCAAGTTCTCAAGACCTGAAAGAAGATGAAATGATAAGAATAATCAATAATTTCACTATTTTCATGCGAACTTAAGAGGAGGTCTTAATTAGTGGAAGATGATAAAGGTACACTTGCGATTTGAATTGAAGAAAATGAAATGCTAAGAATAATCAATAATTTCACTATTTTCATGCGAACTTAAGAGGAGGTCTTAATTAGTGGAAGATGATAAAGGTACACTTGCGATTTGAATTGAAGAAAATGACTTGTAAAAATGGGGTTCATCCAGAAACGAGACCTAATGGTACCAAACCTTTCTATTTTTTATAGCGTATAGTAATATATTTTCATTAGTAAGGGGAATCTTTCGTCATCTTAGAAAAAATCTAAAAGATCTGCTTCTATTCACTCCGCACTCTCCAACCCCCTCCCTCTCACCCGGTAAGAATTCACCCGCACTGGATATTAATCAAACTAATACAACTTATCATGAGTAAGTAATAATTTAATGAGGTGAAAATATACATTAACTAACCACAATTAAAGTGATAATGTCGTGCATCTATTGATTTGTTGTAAATCGGTGGTGTGAGTAAGTATTTAGCCCTCTCTCTTTCTCCTGCATTTTGTTTACCTCTCTCTTTGTGAGATCCAACTAACTCACCAAAGTTCTTTCATTTTTCTTACATCATTTTTACTTTTCCATAATTTTACTTCAATAGAGATGAGAGTAGCAAATTATTAGATGAGTTGACGAACCTTTTTAGTTGATGATGAAACTATATATCCTCTGCTTGCTTTGTTATTAGATCTATAGAGCTCAAAATTCTGGAAATAAACAGAGGAATAATTAAGACCAAATATGATGCATAGTATTATTCCAAAAAAGTAAGAAAGCAAAAGCATGATTAAATTACAATGGGGACTCACTTGTCTGCCACAAAGGATAAAGATAAGAAAGTTAATCAAACTTTCAATAATCTGCTCACACTATTTTCTTATTGCCCGTCCAAAAAATATTACTCTCTCTGTCTCAATTTTAGAGCTGTCAATATGGGCTAGCCCACCCCATCCGGGCTAACCCATACATGCTTTGACATTTTACGGGTCAGGCCAGGCTAGCCCATTTTTGGTGTGGGCCAGAAAACGATCGGCCCAACCCATAAGTACGTGGGCTACAGGCTTGCCGGGCCAGCCCACTTTTTTAAAAGTTATATATTTTTTTATAATTATTAAATTAAATTATAAATTATAATTTAAAAATATTATCATAAATATCGATAAAACAATATTACATGGTGTTAATGTTACTACTTGTTAATCAAATCCACAAATAAAATTATCTTTATAATATTTATTAAGTTTTTTTCAAGTAAAAGTATAAATATCTAAATAGAAATATTAACTCAACTGTTTTGCAATAATCACAATAAAATACAAAAAATATGACAATATTCCAACCATAAAAATGTAAAAAATAAACTCCTTAAAAAATCATGAAACTTATGGCGTATCTAACACTTCATGAAACCTATGGCGTATCTAACACTTCATGATCATCTTCATCAAGCATATCTGAATCA